TTTACCATTTCCTTTACTGGTGAGAATAATTGTATACCATTTCCTTTACTGGTGAAATCCTTGTTTGCCATTTCCTTTACTGGTGAGAATCATTGTATACCATTTCCTTTAATGGTGAAATCATTGTTTACCATATATTTTACTGGTGAGAATCATTGTTTACCATATATTTTACTGCTGAGAATCATTGTATACCATTTCCTTTACTGGTGAAATCCTTGTTTGCCATTTCCTTTACTGGTGAGAATCATTGTTTACCATATATTTTAATAGCAAAATCATTGTTTACCATTTCCTTTACTGGTGAAATCATTGTTAACCATTTCCTTTACTGGTGAAAGACTATCTCAAGTATATATTAGAGAAGTTTTATGATATAGCTTACATTCTTTTCTTGAAATAAACTGTTTTTTGGATTTTAGTTGCTTCATACAGGAAGTGTGTTAATTCTGTTTGAACCCCGAGTAGCTCTTGTGAAGCAATTTATTACAAATTTTGTGGAAGAAATTGGTTTAAAACTTTAAGCCAATCAAAAATCCAAAAACTTGTTTATCTAGCTACATTACTAACATTGTATAGCTAAGGTTATAAAGCACATTTGACCTTAAGCTGTTTAAAAAAATAAACAATTATGAGGTATAATTTGTGATTCTAACTGGTTATTTAGAGTAAGGTGATTCTTTAAGGAATACAGGATCAAATAAACTATTTTTACTTATCTTAGATGCTATTGATTATGTACACGAAACATCTGATGTTAAATTAACTGAAATATACTAATTTTGCATTATTGAATGAAGTGGGGAAGTAAAAAGGTTAAGCTCTTGACATTTATTCCACGTCCCTGGAAAAAGTAAAAAATCATATTTTATACAGTATTTTACTGTTTGATTTCTGTATGATGTTACTTTTTTCAGCTTAATGGCAAACTGTTCAAAGTGTGCTTTGGAGTTGTATGAATGTTCTAGCAGTGAGCTAAGTAGTTGTGTTTAGACATGAAATAATGGAATTAGATAGCAGGAGTTTGTATGGAATTGGAAGTTGCAAATGTAAAAAAAAAGGGCAGTGTTTACAGTTAATATCATTTGATACTGCATAGTGTGCGTGAATATTTGCCATATTTTTTTACGGCAGTAAAACCATAGTATTTTATCATATGTCCTTTTAACTTTTTTTTGAGGCACATGGGAATAAAATGTGCCTCAAACACATTGTCATTTTCTAACCTATTCTCTGTCAATAAATAAAAAATATCTTCTTATGTCAGTACATTTTTCCCATTTTTTAAAAACTATAAATGTTCAATGTAACTTTGTTTCGTTTTTCAACAACAGAATTGATTTACATTTTAATTTTTTTTTTATAATAGCTGAAACTAAGTTTATCAGGATAGACAAAACCTTTTGCATCTTATACTTTAGGTCTATAATCCACAACATGTATACTAGTTCTCAGATTTTTGCAACCTTATAAAACTTTTATAATGTTATTTCAGGTATGACTTCAAAGGTATCATTGATTACATCTTCTTCCCTACAAAACACATGACAGTCCTGGGGCTACTAGGCTCACTGGATCTGGAATGGTTGAAAGAAAATAAGATTGCTGGCTGTCCTCACCCTCACATCCCATCTGATCATTTCCCACTACTTGTGGAGTTTGAAATCACTCCTCAGTCGAGTTTTCCAGTTCTCCCCAATGGACTGATACACAGTAGATAGCAGCTTTAATATTTGCTGTGGCCACAAGGTGGTAGAATTAGCTGATTGGCCCAGTTAGGGCACAGCTCTCTACATTAGGGGTAACAACGACTTTGGCATTTCCAGAAGCAGCTCTGTACTCCACATCATCCTCATTCATGCATCCCTTCCAGTCATCACAAAAAATGTAAAGTTTTTATCATTCTTTTTTTAAGAAGTTTCACTTTCAGGGCCCACAGTGTTTTAAATAGACAGCCTTTATATATATTTCATAAAACTTCAGTTTGCATTTACAGAACAGCCAATGTATTTTTTAGTGATTTTAAAAAACAAAATGTTCAAACTGTCTGAAGTGTTGTTATTAATTCATGTACCCAATTGATAGCTGTGATGCCAGTGTACGTAAATTGTTAGTTATATATATATATATATATATATA